AAAAGTACGTCGGATTGACAAAAAGATTCTAGAAGATCTGGACTCTATGGACGATTTATGTCCAATGTCAAGAAAACTCGAAAACCTACAGACGAAAACCAACACGTTGACAGAAGAAACAGTGAAGACAGGACTTCAAGTGAATCTAGAGTTGATGAGAATACCAACCCAACGACAAAAACAAGCACCAATCACTATCATCGAGAGAAATTTGAAGGACATCACTTCCCTCACTTATTCAGGCGGCATTATTTCAACTATAGGCGACAAGAATGGGGATTTCAAAGGCAAGATGGGAGAGCAAAACAGACCTTCAATTAATCTGAAATCACTTTGAAAATCTTCTACACTGAACATAAAAAACAAAATTGGGATTTTCTATATGAATGTTAGGCCAGTCAGTTCTTTTGTGTGGATCAGAGACTTGCCGCATGCGTCACGAGAAGCATTTCGAACAGGCCACTGCAGCTGCCTTCGCTCCATACTGAAGATCAGATGACCAGTTAGAAAGAACTAGCACCAAGAAGCTCTAGGAATGAACCAACCAAGAACCTGTTGCCCGATAAATTGACCGAAGAAAATGCATATGAACTGAACATACGCTGAGGACACCATTTAGTGACATCACGTGTCAGTCAAGCATCACACGTGAAACCCGAATGGGCGTTCGAGGGTGACATGGAGGAGATAAAACCTTATGGTTAATCGTGGAGTCAGCTAATAATGACTGTAGAGAACAGGATGAAATGGAGATGTGATGCTGAAGCTCTATGTTCCATTAGGAACCCAGGGGAATAGTAACAATAAAGTATATAGCAGTCTGTCATTGAGTAATAGGGTGTGCATGTAACACAATTGAAACAGTTATTCAGAAGTGGTTTCTAAAGATCAGAAAAAATAATGAAATAATTACTGACACATTGAGAGAAACTGTTTGAAATTCGATAAAGTGAAAATCGTTATTAGATGAGTGAGTAGCAAGGTGTTTAAATGCCCACTGGGCAAATGTGAAGATGAGAGGAAAGAAAGTTAGTAAAATCCACAAAAGACATACATAAGAGTGATATTAGTGAATTACTTATGGAACATAGGAACAAATAAGCGGCAAGACGTTTAAGACCATGTCGTTAGAACAAGAGACTCTGAGGATGACTTCGTTGATAAAGAAAGTTCATTTTGCTCGATTATCTATCTCTTCTTTGCGTTATAATTCCACTATCTACTACCTGTATATACAGGAAGGTGTCAGTGAGGCAGTAGTTTATTTTCACTCCAATATTTGCTAACAAAATGGCTGCACTTCTATTATATGTTGGTTTGTTAAATAATCGGCTGATTTGTCATTATTAAAGAATACGAAAAAAGACAAAAATCACTTTCAGCTGATTAAATCAATTTCACTGAATTTAACTTAATAATCAGGAGTGTGTAATAATAAAGTCATATGATATTGTTATGGTTATTTGTAATTTTTCTTTCTTTTCACGTTCCAAGTTGAACATAAGGTTTCCGGCTTGAGTTTCTAAGTTTCAGTAGCAGTGGTGATCAGTTTTTTTTACCTTCCCTCTTCACTCGGCTTACTTTCGACTAAATGAGGTGTAGGTGTGCGCCTGCCAGGGACACAACCCTGGTCCATGAGCTTGGGTGGCGAGGTATTCTACCACTGACGCGTTTTTGAGACTTAGGTATGGCGAATTCTCAATCAAGCAACGCTTTCAGTTTTTGCGATTCACAACATAATTGAAAAGTTATGTAACAAGAAGTGAAGTAAGAGCTTGCCTCTTTACTGTGCAAAGACTAACTAACTAACATAAACTAGTACTTTACTGTAGACTTCTAAGAGGTAAATAATTTTTATTTAACTGAAAAATTATGAGAAAGAATCAACTAAGTATTATTTTTCATAGAAATTCATAAAGGGAAGTAACTGTATGAAATATTCTAGTGACTAACGTTATCTTATAATTTAGGTGACTCAATATCTCGTGGATACCCGTGCCTACCACATTTTTTCTCGTTCGAGAAACTTCGATCACATTATATGTGTAATTTAACATTTGACAACCCTTGTATATAACCATGGTTATTATTTTATTGTTTACATTTCATCTTTTATGAATTAAAGTGTGCTTAAATTGCAATGAAACTGTCAATATTCATTGTTCAGATTGTATGTAGTTTACAAGAGATACAGACAGAATAAATTGAGTTGGTTTTATCTATGTGTTGTTATTGCTTTATTGAAATTCATTAAAGGTAATTCATGTATGAAAGGAACTTGCATCTGACATCGTGAGGTAACGTATATATATATATATATATATATATATATATATATATATATATATATATATATATATATAACGTTCGAACAGACGAAGTGGAGAAATGTCCAGTCGTAACTGTATATATGCGCCTTATCTTACACCTCATATTTTTCTGATTTGACACTAGTGACTAGTGTGATGCGTTTAGTCCTCTCTTTGGTGCAGACTGAATTCTATCAGTCAGGTTGTAATGTGACCACCATTCTAGGTAGCTCGCCATCACGGCGTACATTGTTTGTGATGATATGAGATGGTTGGAGGCAATCGGCAGGAAACCTAGATCCAAGGCTTCCTGCCGATTGCCTCCAACCATCTCATATCACCTCATATTTTTATTGTACAATATTATTAGTTTGTTTTATCTTGCTTAAAAATTTATAAAATTCAAGCTAAACTATAGCGTTTCAGATGAAATTACTACGCCAGTTCCCTTAGACATCACAGAATTGGGAGACTGTTTCATCCCAGTCAGGGAATCTTCGGCGTAATGTACCTATGACCCTACCAGGAATCGAACATAGGGCCTTCAGCTCACAAAGGGAGCTCTTTGACTATTCAGTCACTGGGACAGAACCAAACAGCTCGTCAGTCCTAACTCCTAAAAGTTCTAGATTCGGTCACTGGTAGGATTTATGGGTGCATACCACTGAGGAGTGCTTGACTATGGCCAAATAGTTGTAGTAGTCAAATGCCTGCAGACCAACACTTAAACTTTTGATTTATTAACTTGAAGCAATGGTAGATTGTAGCACAAAATCATATTGTTTGAACTCCGCTACCTTGGTCAAATCTTTAGGCTGTGAGCTACACATTAACTGTATGACGTCTGATGAGAATACACAGTTGCTCAGGTTGAAGTGGGAGCAGCGATGTTCCGACTCAACACCTACTGGTTTAAAATCGAGTGTTCACTCTAAATCGCATAGTTGTTTAAGTTTAAGCTCAATTACGCGGAAGCGATTTTTCATGTACTAGACCGAGAGCCACACTTATCATGTGACGACTGATGATACTACCCACGTGCCCATGATGAAGTAAAACTCAAACCTGTGACCTATCGACAGAAAGTCGAGTGCTTAAGACAATAAGCCACATCTTCAGATTAAATCACTTAGCACAGACAATTCATAAATCACAACAACAAAGTTGGTAAACTGAATGGAATATACTTCATTGCAGATTCATAAGCGAACTAAATCTCAATGTCAAAACAAATTACTTATTTTCTTAATGAACAAATACACATCTTTATGGTGACCTACACACACTACAGCATAATGAAGTCCCATAGCCAGACGACATGGCATTTCATTATAAAAGAGCAAAGTAACAGGCATTTTAAAGTGTTGATTTGCAGGCATTTGACTGATACTAAGATCACGGAATGATATCATTTCAAAGATAAGTGACAATCAAGGAGTACTAAACAGCTGTTTCGTTCCAGTTAAGAACCCTTAACAGTACGACCTCATTGGGTATCGAATGTAAGATACTAAGGTTAAGAGGAGGACCCACTGATCACTCAGTCGCCATGTCAGAATTTGATAGCCCATGAATTCTAGCTTCAGCTGTCCAGTACTCTTTGGTTTTCAATGTTTCTCTAAATGATGACTGAGTGAGTTTCAACGCAGAACTTTAATCAAGAAGTGCAGCGCTTCAAGCTGTAACATTTCAGGTAGCACACAAAGGTGGGGCAGTTAACGAAAATAAGTGATTCAAAAGAACTTTATTAATGTGAAGGAGAAAGAATAGTAACACGGAAAAACACGACGGCTTAGTGGATTTGGAGCATTACAAAGAGTGAGTGTATCTTCGCCCCTGAGAATGATTTTGAGCTATGGTCACCAACAATTTCCAGCTATTGACTCTCGGCATACCAAAATTCCAAAGAGGAAGTCTACTCCCCCCTATGTGGCTCAAAATAACTTGCAAAGTCTTGATTTGGCTATTTCTAACTCTTTTCCAACCCAAGCATATCAGCTAATATTGTTCATCGAGGAAGGTGATAGTTGGGCATGCGCAAGACATGTCCAAGATATCTGAATCATTGTAGCTTCATAACCTCGTTGATTAACCTACCCAGCTTACCTAACACTTAACGCCTAACGTCAATACTGCTCGCTATTTTGTATTACTTAACACAGGGAATAGGGCGCAAACATCTGTGGTCAAAGACAGCTAGCCTTCTCATATTTTCTATTTTCATAGGCCATGTCTAAAAGTCATAAAAAAATGACATAACAGAGACACACATCCTTCGATCGATAGCCAGATATCAAATCCACACCAAAGATATTGACTAATACTAGCCACGCATCTTTTGCATCCCCCTGTTGAGATTTCGTCAGCGGTCAGTTCATTTGGATGTTAATACAACTTCCCACCAAATAAGTGAAGTAGTCAACACGCTCTACCACTCTTCATTCCCTATTTTAAGGCTAGGAGAGCACTCTGTGGTTTTCAATGCTTCTCTAACTGATGTCAGTCAATTCATGATGCCTTGTAACATAACACCTACTTTATCATTATGGAGGTAAGTTACTAATCGGAATCATTTATTTCTTTCATTAATAGAAGGAAACTAATCGTCATTAATGAATGCATAGATGGATGATAGACAGATGTAGATATATATATTGAAAACTAAAGTGTTGACAAATATCATCAAGTTCTCTCATGAAATGACACAGACATTACAAAATAGGATGAAGGGATGGATGAATGAATGAATGAATGACTCATACTTAACAAAATAAGCAAACTCAATCATGATGTTAGTTAACTGTAATAAATACTACAAAATAAAAACAACAATCAAGGTAATCACATTGTAGAATACTCACTCAAAGAAATATTCTTCTGTGTACAAAGAAAGGCACAGATTAAATAAAACAATAACAAATGTACACAAATACCCCAAGGAGAAAATAACGAATCAAATGTCATTGTTGTTTTTTGTTTTTCTTTCAAATTTATAAGTAGTTTGAGCAGTAGTATAAAATAAATGCAATGAAGAATAAATAAAAATCTATGTGTCAATGAATCACTGTCGTTTTAAAAAAGGTAAGAGTAAGTAAGATCTGGGCATCATCTAGCAGTACTGTAAATAATAACGATTTAGATTTACTCTTTACATAATCACGTTAAATATTATCCAGTTTATAATGACAATAATAATTATTATGATACTGTAACTGGTTATAATATTATGTGAAATAAACTTGTCTTGTTTATATCTATATCTATATATACATGTAGAAGTTAATCTCTTCATATTAAGTTATATACATGTGAACTGCACTGATAAAAGTGTTATATATATAAATGCATTCTGTTCACTTCGTTCCTTCTTTCAGTGTGAACTGATTGCTTTTAAATAAAAGAAAAGGAAGGGCTGTTTAATCACTGTCCCATGAACAACTATAATTTTCATTAGCCATTCGATCATTATATGGAAGTCCGTTGAACTCATAATTTATACCGTTTTCCGCCGCTTCTTCTGATGACGATGATGGTTGTCTTTCCAATGAATAATTGTTGAAAAAGTTAATCGGATTTATAGATTGTATAATATGCGTCCAGTTGGCTAAGACAACAGCTGCTGGTGAAAAATACTGACTTAATGTTTGAACAACTGCAGTTGGTAGAAAATAATTTGGTTTCTGAGAATTGAATAATTGAATTGTTTCATCATTATCATCATTAGTATTATGATTATTATTATTATGATTGAAATATTGTTTAGGATGATGAAACCATATCCCACAAGAGACATGTTTATTTTGATCTGGTCTACCAGCTAGAACTAACATCGTCGTTAATTTGTTTTCATTTACACTGGATAGGATTTCATCATTTTTCATTTCATCATCATCATCTATTGCAGATGAAGAACGAGGGAGATTAGGGGATTCAAATGAAGCAGAGTTTATAATACAGTTTGATGAAGAAGGATGTGATGATGGTGATTTAAGCAATGAATCATTTTCTCCTATGGATTCATTCAAAAGGTGTGTAGCACAGACAAGTCCACGAAAGCCAAGGATTTTAGGGCATAGATTAAATACTAATCCAGTATTTTCCGATGGCAATTGATTAACAGGCTCCAACTCATTACTGCTTGGTCCCTGAACAGGTGACCATCGTAACCACTGACAAGATGATGTATCAAAGCAATAATGTGTAGCCGCTAAATCACGAGAACACGTTCCCATAGGGAATAAGTAGGTTTTGTCTAAAATGAAGGGAAGTAAGGAATAAAAGGTTATTATTTTGAGAACTTTAGGATGCTTAGCACTGTGTAGATCGCTATGTGAAGATTCCATACTGATCAATACAAATAGCACAATATTATATGAAATTCTTTATATCAGTAAGAGCATTCCCTTCGGATTTCTACATGGAAGTTTTCGCGCTTAAATAGAATCTATGTGAAATGAAATCAGTACGAAAATCTACTGGAGTCAGTGCAAAGAAAAAGGCTCTGATTCTTGACACTAATATGAAGTCAGTGCTTCTATGTGGTTCAGAGACTTGATAAGTCAACAAAAACATTTCAAAGAGATTGAAAGCTTTCATCAATTGCTACTCGCGTTACACGATGAGGATCAGATGACCAGACAGAAAGGAACTCTGGCAACAAGCCAACTAAGAACCTATTGCCCAAAAAATATGCCAAAGAAATGGAGTTTAAGTGAACACACGCTGAGGACACCATTGAGTGATATCACGCACTAGGCAGATCGAAGAGTGGAAGCCGAATGGGGAGAGATCATGTGAGGAGGAAATGAAAGCTAGTGGGCAATCGAGAAGGGACTGCAGAGAATAGCATGAAATGATGTTCTGTTGAAGGCCTATGTTCCAATCAAAACTCAAGGGAATACTAATAATAATAAATGATTTGTTTTTAATTAGATTTCGATTTTTCCGATGACTGATTGGAGCGAAATGTTCCACCTCTATTGACACGTTCGGCTCCTAGTGCAGACGCTTCAACGATGCCTTTGGATGAACTTGAAGTAGTTTCAACAGACGCCAAACATTTCGGTCTAGTCTGTCAACGAGGAAATATAAATCTGATTAAAAACAAGTGGTAACTGCCACCTGTTGCACAAAAGGTGGTCATCGTGACCTAACTGGTCTAGTGGACAACGCCTTAGCGTTTGAAACAATGCATACTGGGTTCGAATCTTCGTGGGAACATCAGCACATGAGCATCCTTGATTCTATTGCTAGCCGAAATCCACCAAATAATAATGAATTGTTCACAATAGAAACTGACCATAATTTATAGTAAATTAAAACTGTTATAACTCACCACAACAGTGGCCATTTGAAGAGCAAGTAATAGCAAACAGACGATACATCCTTATCAGGAAAGGAGGATTCGGTAAATACTCCACAACTAATAGTTTTTTGTCGGGTTGTGGACGAAATCGAAACAGCTGTGATCGGAGAGATGAAGTTTGATGTAGTCCATGGCGTGGATGTCTGGAGTTATTTGAAGAGGAAACTGTCTCAATATTTGCATAAAGCCAGCCATCAGGAGCGACAGGACTCAACTGTTCGATTGGAGTAAATAACATAATTCCATTTTGGCTTTTAGATAAACAATAAGGTTCCATTTCATACCATTCCCATGTATTTAGATCGAAACGAAAAGCACATAACCACGCGACTTCTTGTATGGATAAGACATAATACATATAGAGACCACTAGATAACGTCGTTAGTCCGATACGTCTAGATCGGAAAGAAAAGAAGTTTATTGAATTATTTTTGTTATTTGAAGGAGATAGGAAGAGGCGGGGAATAGATTTCGCACGGCAAGTAGCTAGACACCAAGCAAATCCATTCAAAGCTCCACTATTTGGATCAAAACATATGACAAACAAGCTATTTTGGTAAGAACTAGGTCCGTAGGTTAGTGGGCAGAAGTAAATGCGACGATCTATATCACCTAAACCAGATGAATCAAGATCTAATTCACGGAGACAACGGGCTGGTAAAGGACAATTATGATAGGTTCCATTATGAAGGTTGAAAATCCAAAATTCTAAGTTGTTTGAACTGTTTGGCGCCAATCCCAGTAAGCATAAAGATTCAGCCCTGGGTTTTAATAGAGACAGCTGTATTTGCGAAAGAGGTGATGAAGGCTTAGAAAACATTCCTCCAAGTGGAATACTTTTAAAGAATGTTTCCATATCATCATATGTCAACTTCCCGTACCATTTAAATCCAGCATGGTATTTGTGCCAGTACTCCAATAACTTACTTTGTCCTTGTACAGAAAGAAGACCAGGACGAATACAGTGTAAAAACGAGTAGACAATATTTTCATTATAAAATTCAGTCGACTTTAATGTCTGTAACCAGCCAAGGACAATGTCTAGAACAACATCTTCATCTGGTATGCATATAATATTTTTTGATAAGTAGTTAACAACAAGATTAATAAGATCTAACTGTAAATTTGATTCTGAAAGACATGGTCTGAGGAGGAAATGAGGATATTTAATGGTGTATTCCGAGAATAGCTTATTGACACAAGAATTTCCACAATGAGAAACTTTGACAAGCTCTTTTAATATTGTAGAAAATATGTCACAACCGTGTGACTCATGGAAAGGAATAGATTTCGGTTGAAACAAATTATCCATAATATAAGATAGTCTTTGTACACAAATCTGAATAAGTTTAGGCATTTGAAAGTAATCTGCTGCGTCTGTTAAATCCAGCGCTTCTAAAATTTTGAACTTTTCTGGACAATTAGAAGAGTAATCTGAATTATTATTCTGCATATCTAAAGCATCACCCCAAATTGTATACTCATGTCGTGAAAAATGAACAATCATGGCCAACTGATGAGCGGTAAAATTAGGAAAACTGAATTGTTTAGTTTTGCTTTCAGCCATACCACTCTCAAAAGCAGCATGAAAGTACAAACTTGATCTAGTTAATACATCACGGGGTACCTAAAATATACAAAAAAACCCAACTGATTAGACTGCTAATATCATCGAATTGAATCAAACTAACACAATAAAAATAAACATTCCTGTGAGCATATGCCTTGATAGTGAGACTTTGGTTTTCAGATGAAATAGCATAGTAGTTAAGTCGCAAATCAAATGAAGTTAAAATAATAGCAAATGAGTTCTAACAAATTGAGTATGAAATCCAACAGCTTGTAACAATACCCCCATCGCATCAAGTTTGAGCAGTTTTTGTTTACTCGCCTATAACCAATAGTTTCTTATACGAAAAGCACTGATTTGGTTTCCATCATAAAATCCCAAATGGGTGATAGTGCCAGTAATTTCGGTCACTCATGCCAACGTTGGTGATTCAATAGTTTGCGAGACTTCAAAATAGTTATAGACTTCATTAGCAACGGCCTATTCACATTTATTTCAATAAACACGAGAGAACCAGGCAGGCTTTAGAACAGGAAGAGTGTGTACTGATCATATCTTCACCCTTCGACAGATTCCGGAACATAGGCATACTTACCGGTATCCAACAATTGCTACATTTCTTGACCTGGAAGCGATATTCGATTCCGTCGACAGTGAGCTACTATGGTGGTTTTTAGCTGTGAAGGCAATGACAAGAAAATACATCACACTGATCAAGGCACTCTACTCAAACTCATGCAGCCAGCCAGGTGACAGCCTACGGAGAGTTGTCATCTGAAGTGGTGACCTCAACGACTCAGGGGTTGATTTTCTACCAGGGAATAATCTCGTTGACTTAGAATATGCAGATGATATAGTCCTGCTCCTGACGCTGACAAAGTGTAGAGTTTTCTGAACACCTTCAAGAAGAATCTTCGAATGTTTGGCATGCAATTCGCTCCTGTCAAATGTAAGATGATGCTACAGGACTGGACTACATTGACTCATACCTAGAATAAAGATAGGGAGTGAAGCGGTAGAGCGTGTTGACCACTTTACTTATTTGGGGAGTTGCATCAGCCAGTGCCAACGGGTTGATCGCTGATGAAATCTCAGCACGGATACAGAAGGCTAGTTTCGCATATGCCAGTTTACGCCATCTCTGAGTTAGTAGTCGTGATATCCAGCTGTCGACCAAAGGAAGTGTACTGCTCAGCAATCCGCTCCATTCTCCCTTATGTCTGTGAGTGAGATATGGCCATTGAGAGTGGAAGATATGAAAAGCCTAGCTAGCTGTCTTTGATCATAGGTGCCTGAGTTCTGTCTCCCGTGTGAAGCGGTATAATAAGGTGAGCAATAGTGAGGTTAGGCGTCGAGTTTTAGGTAAGGAGGGGGAATCAATCGATAGGGTTGTGAAGTTACACCAATTGAGATAGTCAGGACATGTGTGACGCATGCCTACCGATCGCCCTCCTCGACGGGCAATGTTAGCTGATATAGGGTCAGGTTGGAAAAGAGCTAGCGGTGGTCAAACCAAAACATGGCACCAGTCAATGAAATCCAAAACAGTTGGTTTAAGCCACGTAGGAATGTGTAGACTTCCTGACAGGTTGGGCTCGTCGAGATGGTAAAAACCAATGGCTGGGGACAATCGGTGATATGGTTCAAAATCGTTTTCAATGGCGCAGATGCATCCACTCCTTGTGACTTATGATTTCCAATCAAACTATATTGTTCTTCGTTATTACTAGTCCTTTGTCTCACACCTCTGTTTACTGTCTTTATTATGCATTTCTTTTACTTTCTTCTCTTGCTTTGTGTGCTACATGGAGTGAGGCGACTTGAAATGCTGCACATCTATGCAAAGTTCTAAGTTGAAACCATTCAGTCACGTTTACTTTCATATCTGTGTAAGATAAAAAGAAAATTCGAAGTAGTGATAAATTGAATTCCATCACTAAGCTTGGAGACACCATTAGAAACAAATTCATTAACAGATGAGGTATGTTTTCCTTTTTATGAATTTTATCTAGTCGTAAGTGAGAAGCCATTTTTGTTGCACTAAATTTACAGACATTTTAAATAAGCAGTCATTTAGCTTTCATGACGTTTTTGAATGAGTCGCAACAGCCTGAGACAGTAGTTTTACACCAAATCTCCTATGAAGTGCTAGGTAGTCACTACCTTACTTGGATGGTGTGTGGCTTTTCCAAGTAGTCGTTTCTGCTAGGTTTCATCGCCAGTTTTCTGATGAGCACATTAACGGAAAAGGAAATACTAGATAAGCTATACAACCTGGAAGAAACTACAATTTTTCGAAAGCACCCACTACTTCTCACTCCCCGCCAAAAGTCTTTGAATGTTTTGCATCTTAAACCTTAATTTTGACTAATGGTGTCACCAAAAAAAAAACGCAACAATATGAGCCATTGCACTTCACATCCATTTGTTTGAGTACATTTTAAGCATCTTTGATTTATATATTAAGATTTCTAGAGTCACAATTAGAGTCCTACTGAGTTCCATTTGTACATTATTAGTAATAAAGTTCTTTTCAGCATATTATTATTATTATTTTATTCCTTTACGTTCCCAGTGCAACATAGGGCTTCATGCTTCAGACTTAAACTTTTGGTAGCAGTGGTGTTTACTTTTACAGAATGGGGTTGCTAGCTTAACGCCCAACCTTTTTCTTCACCAGTCTTACCACTAGCTCAGCGAGGTAAAGGAGTGCGTCAGCCGGGGATCGAAACCCGAACTACCTGCGTGGTTGGCGAGCATCCTACCACATAGGCGTGCAGAAACTTAAGTTTGGGCTTGCAAATGAAAAACAAAGACCTAAAGGTACGCTAATAAGCTTCCTATTTGGGTTGTGTTGCAAGAAATCTTTGGTTCGCTAATAATTTCGCTACGTCTGGTGTGTTGAAAGCGCAAAACGGTAATTTTGCAAAAGGTTAAGCCGTTAACTAACTTAACAAGTTACCTGATTTCCAGATACATGACAGAGTTGACTCTTGGAAAAACAAATAAAAAGCGTTGACTGAGATGATGAAGTAAGAGGAACTCAAAAAAATTTCCTATGACGTTTGACAATCATTTCTACTTATTTCTAAATACAGAAAATTACAAATGTGGTACAACTATAGTTGTAAGTTGGAAAACTTATAAGTTTTCCAGTACATGTGCTCAAGTCACAGAATATGTCACATCCTAATCCTGGACAACCAGACTGCTCCGTGGTTGCGCAAGCAGCAGTATGGCCGCATCTGTTGTCTGGAAAGTGCTAAGGCTAACGAATTTCTGGTCCAACTCCTATGGAAATGTAGCTCAATCCAACATAACTGCTTGCAGTCCAAAAGTATACTAAAATGACTATAATCTCATCACTAATATAAATTTTGATTTTAAGCTGTTTTAAAAAAATGGTCCGTTTAAACGAATAACTAGTGTATCCACTGTTAATTCACAAAACCAAAATATAGTACCTTGAAGCGACAACGACACAGTAAATAAACAGGCTACCAATCGATTATGCGCATAGTGGGGTAGATCTGTAGCTCAGGTAGATGAATTTGATTCACTTTTGTTCTCCGAGCTGGGTGATTTAATCGAGAAGCTTTTGTCGTCCTTCTACACAACACAGCGTATAGTTTGATAGTGTCATGGGCCTTCTAAGAAGGTACTATAGCATTATCTTCAACAGGAAGGTTGAAATTTATAAATAAATGTAAAGTGAGTTGAAAGAGGTAACTATAGTGAGGTTTAAAATTACGGAAAAATTATAATTATGCCTATAGGCATTGATGAACAGGTATCCTTCAAAGCTGGTTAAGAGACAAACCCATTGAACTCAACTACTAGTGAAAAGATATTTATTACCTACCTATGTAGGTGGAAAAGCTTTAAAGGGTTCAAATTAGGTCCTATCACTACAGGATGTCATGCGTTATTCGCTGACTGTAAGTAATGAGTAATTTCAAGCGTCACAGTACATGTTGGTAAATATGTGTATATTTTTTACAGCATAAAAATAGGGAAGAGACCCACCTGGAAATGCTGATCTTCAGCAATGAGAGTTATTAGGCCAGTCATTACAAGAAAATATACCGCAGCTGTTGAACGGTCCGCGGTTACTGATGCATATTCAATATCCAATTTCGTTTTTATGAGCTAGCCAATTCGATTTCTTCGTACTCACTTCTTGATTGTGAGGTGAAGGTTCCTGGTCTTTGGTAAACTTCTGCGTAGTTGGTCACTCCACTTGACTGTCGTAGCTTTGGTTGACTCCAAAAGGAGTGGTGACAGAATTAATTATATGTTGTTTGTAGTATGCGGTGTGTTAGGACTATGTTGCTTTTAGGAATAGGGTTGATCCCTTCACCAGTTAGTCCTCCGGTATCTCTGTCAAAAGAAAAGAGATAATAATAGATATAATTAGTGTAGGTTATTCAGACTAAAAGACAGAAAAAGAAATATAAAAAACGTAAAAACAGACAGCTAATTAAATTCGTAGTTGATATATGTAGAAACATTTATAAATGTATATTTATATAATATCATTTATGATAATAAGTGTAAGTGTAGTAGTTGGAGTTGTCAAGAGAGTAAGACGGGAGAGAATCTAAAGAAGTAAAACGACGAATTTAGTTGTCTACCCATGATTGGTGTATGGGATTTTAGGGGGGTAGGCCATTTGGACTCAGTCCTTGTGTCGCCATATGACTGTTCAGCCTTCGCATAAAGGTGTATACGGACAGTGCAATAGCTACGTCTGTCGGTAAGGAGTTCCAGTAACGGCAAACTCGCAGTAAAATGAAGTGGGAGTGATGCATATTTGTTAATTGACGTTAAAAGCCTTGAAGCTTATGCTAGCCTTTCACTAGTAAATTTCTGCACTTGTCCAAACACTTCTTAAATGAATGAAATTAAGGCAATGACAGCACTTATTCTGAGAGTTGGTTGTAGGACTTGATGACTCAATGTGAGAGTCAGTACTTCACAGCAATATAGGTTCTTCTTGGCCTTTGAATTCTCCTACTATGCTCTCCAAGGTGTTTTGACCTCGTGGGAAGGAATAGGGAGAATAGATCTTCTCTGCGGCTATTATTTAAATACTTAAACATTATAATGAGATTCCATTAGGGAGAAAATTTTATTTTTATAAAGTCTGACAGCGTTATACAGCAACATTTACTTATGAGGTTTCCAAAGAAACTTGTTTATAATTGGTGTTTTCTCTATATCGGAATTATACTCTACTGCAGTGCAAAAGTTCTATTCTTATGTTGTGTTGAGAACTCCTCGCTGCCTGTGATATGATGGAGAGAAGAAATTTAAACTGCTTCGTCTTCCCCCATATGATAAATTAGTCATGCCAAGAATCACACGTGTTACTTGGCTTTGAACTCTTTCTAGAATATGTGAGTCCCCTTTGAGGCAAAGATTTAATGCATGCATACAATTTTCCGGTCTTGACCTCATCAGAGATGTATATAATAAGTTGAACATATCTCTGGTAATCCTAGTAAAGGCACTGCGAATTGTTTATAAGGATCCAGAACTACGTGCTACTACTGGAGAGTGCGCTGAAGTTTTTGAATCGTGTCTTATTATGACACCTACATGAAAATGAATCTGACCTGTTAACTAGTTTTTGCGGAACTGCACCGATTGCAGTGTCTGATATATCAACCGAGATACTTACTGATGCCGTTGGATCCTGATACATTAGAAGCGTGGCATCCGCAATAGTTTTTTTTACTTGAGTAAAAGCATTTCGAGCAGACGTGTCAAGTTCGACGGACTTGTTATTCCTTCGAAGAAAGTCTGTTATTGGCTGAAACAGGGAGGCACAGTTGGGAATAAACCGTCAATGATAACTTACCAAGCTGTTAAAAGTGCTTAGACTTTTCACTGTCTGTGGCTCCGGAAAGTTCAGTATCGCCTCAACTTTACTTGCCAGTGGGCGAATGCCCTTGCAGTCAGTGGTGTGGCCCAGAAATTCGAGTGAGTCAACGCCTATCTGACAGTTCTGAATATTAATGGTAACACTGTGTAGGCGTTACCTTTCAAATGCCAAGTCCAAGTGTCTAAGGTAAGTTTCCTTGTGTGGACTGGAAATGAGACAGTCGTGTAAGTATGCGTATACAAAGGCGAGACCGCGAAATACTTCGGCGATGAAGCGTTGGAATGTTTGTGCTGCGTTCTGGAGACCAAATGGCATACGCAGAAATTCAAAAAGTCTGAAAGGCTTAATGATAGTCATTTTCGGAATATCTTCTGGTGCCTTCGGAATTTGGTTATACGCTTTAACCAAGTCGATTTTAGAAAATACATTTGTGCCAGATAATGCTACTGTCAAGTCGTGTATGTGAGGCAATGGGTAGCAATCAGGGGTTGTTTTTGTGTTTGCTAGCCGGTAATCACCAGTTGGTCACCAATCACTGCTATCTTTTTTCGGTACCATATGCAGTGGGGGTGCCCATGAGCGATTCGATGGCTGAATGATTCCAAGGGTGAGCATATGGTTGAACTCATTTCTAGCCAGTTTCGGTTTGTCAGAAGCAGGTCGTCGTGCTTTAGATGTCACGGGTTGTCCTGAGGTTATGATGTGGTACATAAGATTGCTGGTTATGCACGGTGGACCGTTAGACAGGCAATTAAGTTCCCGGTATTTATCAACAATCGGCTGGAAATTTGCACAAAAGATCGCCTTCTTCTTAACGAGTGACAAGCTGTGATCTATGTACGTCATGCCTTTGATATACAATCTAGTAGTGCTGTCTATCAGTCGTTTTCGACGGAAGTCTATGAGTAAATCATGATGATTAAGTAGGGTTGTGTCAATGATGGGCATTGTGACGTCAGCGAGAAGGAAAATCCACTGAATAGATTTGCGTAAACTTACGTTCAGATAGACGTATTTCCTACCAAAGCCTGGAATTGGTTTTCCATTTGCAGCCTGTAATTTGAAGGTAGATTCCTTCTGTCGATCTGCTGCTGTAGCAGGAAAAACGCAGACTTCGGCGCCTGTGTCGACTAAATATCGGGTCTGACTGATCACATCATGGATGTAAGGTGGGTGGCTAGTGCCACCGGCGACGGTTGCCCCTAGCACCTGCCGGTGAGATAGTTATTCACAGTTTTTGAGACGTTGCCTAAATTGCAAGGTTTCCGGCAACATTTCGCTTCGTGGCCATAGGTGTTGTGGTACCAACACAAGTCAGGGTTTTTAGTGAACGTGGCCCTGATTTAAATCGACCACGTGCGTTTTACCGTTGAGGGGATTTAGGACGACGATAGGAGGAATTACAAGATACATTTGACCTAAGCAGCTGCTGGATGGAGTTGCATAAAACTATCACTGCAGTATCCTTACTCGAAATCTGTTTGGCAACTGAGCATATTTCAGTGACTGGCCGTTTAGTTATTTCCAGAATTTTATCTGCAGAAATAGCTAAGTCATCCATAAGAACACCCTGAAGTGTCACAAGTACAGTCTGTACTGACTGTGGCAGTTTGGATAAGAAAAGTTCTCTGAAAAGTCCTTCATCAAACTGACGTTGGCCAGTAACCTCCCTCATTCTTGTCAGCATGCTCACGGCTTACTGATCACCTACTTCGACGTTGCGAAATAATTCGTCCAGACGCTGTCGATCCGTGAGAACGTTTCTCCTTAGGAGGGTTGCTTTAAGCAACTCATACGAGTTACTTACCTCTGGGCTCGACATCTGCACAGTTACGCACTTGCTGAATTCCCGCGGTAGGGCGTGAATAACTGCAAGGAACTGTGAACGTTGATCGGTTATCCCATGCTCACTAAAATCAGACTCAGGTATGTGAAACCATGATTCCACACTATCTGGCCAAAATGGTACGAGCTGAATGGTTTTGGCAGTTGAGTGAATACGAATGACCTTAGGAGTATGATCACTCATGAAGAAATATATATAGTTTGAAAATAGTACAAGAACAAATGCAAAATGGAACGAACTCACTGGATTTGTCTGCGTATTTACCAAAGATGAAGTTCGCGGTTGGGCTCACCAGTTTGGAGGCTGACGGTATTGACGTTCACGGATAGTATGGAGTATACTAACGCAAGATCTAATACCCACAACTTCTATAGTATTCGTTCCGCGTAGACCAAAGACAAAGCAAAACACCAGAATTGATCGTCCAAATTACGAGATATATTTCGGGACCGAATCGGAGTGCGAGATGATTGCTTAGCTGGCTAGTGATCGTGCACGCACGTGACACGACGGAGTACCAAATGGTGTGGATGGTTGACCGAAAGCCTTCAGCTAAACAAGTCGACTTAAATAGTGAGGCTCAGCATCGAATGTTGAGTGATGATTGCTGTGGTCAATAATTTTGGGGAATTATTTACCGCTACAAAGCTTCAAACATTGTGACTAGAAACGGTATATTTTAATCGGAGAGAAAAGAGTGAGAAAAGTTCAGTTCAGCATTCTATATATTTAGGTTTACAATTTACTGACGTCTGTATAGGTCTCTACATCCGTAAATTTCGGATTGGTTGTCTAGAGTTATTGGAGACTGCCAGACCCCTTTCTGGCATTATTCTTGAGAACAGTGTGCTGTTATAGCTCACTCTCTAGTTAAGCTGGCTTTTGAAGACACTTGTGGGATATTAGCGGAATGTTTACACTAGAAGTACGTGTGCTCACACGGTAATGTTAGCTCAAGTGGTCATTTGCCATTAATATTTGTGAAACGTTATAATTTAACATATTTCTTGATGTGTTCTAAATAGGTATACAGGAAGCAATCCTGAAAAGATTTCATGTTAGGCAGTAACTCTTCATAATTCGTAAGATGTACATGTCTTTCTTAATACCAGGACTGTCAAGCAGACTTTTCTGCATTTGATAATAGCCCTTATAACCAGATGTGCAAAGCTATTTGAAACATTCTTCTGGAACAGTTAAGGTGCATCTGGGTTCCAAAGGCTGGTACAGGAATCCCAAGAGCTTACTCAGATTTCCAACCCTAATGACTTATCCTTTAAGTCCTCAGTATTTGACGACAAGTGGCAACGCCATGTTCTTTTTGAGAACAGTGAACCTATACTTGTATCACAACATTTGTTGTGATTATTCATTAGTCCCAGTCTTGCTGGCTACATGCAAATTACAAGTGTTATTTGATGCTACAGTCACTGTACAAATAACTCTCAGTGAAGAAACAAGCTGTTAGTCTTCAACCGAAATCCAAAAGCTAACCAAATCGTCCCAGATAGGTTTAGACTGAAACCGATACTGTTTAAGGAACTGCAAGATATGTTGCTCAGTTAAACAAAATATATCAGTTAATTATAGTACAAACTGCTGCAACAGAGTGTCATCTGACTCAACTGGAGTGAGCTGAGAAAATACTCTGGCAGTGGTTGTACTGCTTTTCCTTCTGTCCAAGAGTTACGTCTACAGATATTTTGTAATGCTGTGTATTTTTTCTCACTTTTTTGATTACAGATTGACTCCACACAATATTTTTGGTGCAAGTATGGAATTTTCAGCATACTGAGTTCTAATATAATTTTTGGAGTGGTTATCCTTGTAAGGTATCCGTATGTGTTACTGACAAAAATTTATAAGTAGTATGTTGTATATGATATGTTCTACAATAATCTCAAATAGTGTAGTGACAAGCTAATTTGCAAAGAGGAGAAATGAAAGTTTTTGTGAAACAATGTAAAAAATATGACTGGAAGACTAAAGAAACAGGTTATAAAGAACTAATGCAACGGAAATTCCACTGTAAGTTCTCTGCATTTTGCCATCACTTCATATCACTTACAAAATACATAATTCTGCGACCAAATATTACTGCGTTTTACTGCTTATGTGGTGATAGGGAACTACAGTCTCACAACATTACAGTTTTTTCACTTTGTAGCCACGTGTTTCTTTCTCAGGACGTCTAAATGATAAAGCAGCAAGTTTTCCCATAACACGGCAATCAAAACGCTCTAGCTTATTTGGAGTTAATCTGAGAAGGAAGATGTTTTAGTCACTTTGTGACTCATGATTTTTTTATAAGGTAATTTTTATGAAAACCAACTCTAAAAAGTCATCTAAAGATTTGCAATTATTGATTGTTTTACCATATCTTATACCTTTTACTTCAACAGTTATTTGACAATCTCTAAAAGCTATCAGTGTAAACAAGTTGAAGGTTATCAAGTAGGATGACTACTTTGCTACAGAAAAGTAAACGACACATGAATAATGATCATAAATCACCGAGTATGGCGCGAATGAGATGGGCATCAACACGGGAAAGGGCCGTTTGTTGTTTAAATTACTTCAGTCTGGTTAGCGGGCACTACTGGTGTAACAACAGAAGACAAGGCTGGCAACAGATCAGTTTTATTACGATAACCAACATGTATTTATATGCATTTTACATACATTAATAGACTTCTGCCCGCAGAAAGAAGGCGGTCTTCTGATTGGTTGTTTGCACACAAACGCAGTCTTCTGCTTTCTCGTTTTCTATGTTTCTCGGAAATGCGAGCCACTTGTCTGCGAATCATATTTGTCCATGTCAAGGTCAGCTGTGATTGGTCCTTGAATCAGCCTAGATTAATTTCTACCAATCAGCGTAGATCAATGTCTACCAATTGGCTAGCAGCTTGCTCTCACCACACTGGTAAGTGTGAGTGGAAAACAACTACTCATATTAAGTAATCAGTAGCATAGTGGATTAATTCAGACAGTAATAACACTATTTAAACCACTTACTATATAAATTACACTACCCATGAAGCTCATTGTTGTATACCGATATTAAAATAACAGACTGATCTTACGGGCGCATATATATATTTATATATATTTTGTCGACCCACTGACTTCTTCAGACAGCAAAGTTAGCTGAAATAAGACTTGGTCTGAGAAGGTATTGTGATGATAAGATTAAGGCATGGAAGGATTGTATGAAATCATTGCTAGTTTTAACTACATAGAGTGGCACAGACTGCCTGATAGAGGTTTTTGGGATTCTGAGGACTAATTCTAGGGATGCGAATCAAAGACGTGTGCGTCGGTGGCATAGCGGTTAGGACGCTCGCCGACCATGCACAGAGTCCGGGGTTCAATCCCCGACCGACGAACTCCTTTACCTCGCTAAGCCAGAAATAAGACTGGTAAAGAGGAAAGGTTGGGCATGAGGCTAGCAACCCCATCCTGTAAAATAAACACTGCTACAGAAACTTCAAGCCACTAGCTTGAAGCCCTATGTTCCACTGGGGAACATGAAGGAAAAAAAATATCAAAGACATTTACACTGGAGGAGATGTATTAACCCCCTGCTTATCATTCAGATTTTGAAAATTCACATTCAGCTGATTACCACCCCTCTCGTGCGTATTTGTCAACTGTAGTCCCATTACGTTCTTTAATTTCTAAGCGTGCTTTATGCAAGTGTGACAAATGGAACTGCTGCATTTCCGTGTAGAGTTATTCGTCGACAATTTAGTTTCGACTTTTGATTAGCAGGTACTCCATTGGTCTGATTACTGGTTGACGCCAGTTAAAGAACCCTTAGAAAACCTGAGAGGACTGAACAGATGTTTCATCCTAACTTGGTGCGCTTTGGCAGCACACTCCCTTGAGGGTTCAAACTCAGGACCTTCCAGTTACAAGGCGAACTCACTGACTACACAGCCACTGACACGGAATCCTATGATCCATGAATTCCAGCTTCTGGCAATTCGCGATACTACAGAGTGCACCCACCAGTCAGAGTGATCAGTGACTAACTGTTCTCTTATTGGACTTCGTGGACCCCACAGATCACGGCTTCAGTTGAAGAGATCACACACGCCACCACCCCTTCGACAGATACGGGTCGATGCAATAGTTTCACATACATCCTTACAGTTGTCATGAACAACCCGAAAACACCTAGGATCTCTAATGGATTATAAAAAAGACGGTTATTTGATGGGTAATCATAATTTATAAATGTGTTTATTTTCTTGCAGCAACATTATATTGAGATATATATACACGCATAGAAAATCGTTGGAAAAATAAGTTGTCTGTCTGACTTATAAAATACTGAATTGGTATACAGTGTACAATGAATGGATAATTACATCACTTTCAGTTACGTCTGCAATAATATTTAGTTGTTTCCCATTATTGTTATTAATCTTTTCCACATAACAAAACAAAAATCACATAAAATAGAAACCAAAAAAAAGTAATTAAGTAATAAATTAGACAGATCATCACATTTTAATTTTGAAGAAAAAGGAAGAAGGGTAGGAAGAAATCATTTCAATAGTGAGCAAAACAGTATTTCAATCCTAAGCGTTAATGAGCAAATCGGCCAGTTGTGTAAAATTTATTTTGACATAATTATTGTAACACTGATGATTATTTGGTAAAAAATAATGATACAACTAGTATCAGTTGGAAAAACAATTTTGTAAATTTTTCCTTCTGTAAACTGTTTTGAAAAAGTTCATTATCTATTATTGAGAAGTGGTTTCGACAATGGTATCATTGTATTTTCTTAGTTGTTGCTGTTGTTATTTGGAAGAAAGACTGAGACAGGCGAAACAGAGTCCAGACTGCTGAATGTCGATAAACTGTTTTGAATGAACTGAAGAAGAGAATAAAAAATGAGTTTAGTTTACCTATAACAGACAAGTGATTATTTAGTATATGACAAACTAACACAGTCAAGATAAAAATTATAAAAAATTAATAGAGACAGATAAATCATGACAATTTAGTCATCATTGGATTCCCACCTCCCCCCTCCAGGGGCTGAGTGATCAGTGACCTGACCTTTTAACCTAGAGGTTATGAGTTCAATCCCAGGTGTTGGTGTCATCACTGCTTACCGATGAAGAGTCCTTGGCTAGGACAAAACAGCCATGTAGTATTCCCTGATGGTTTTCAATGGTTCTTTATCTGAATTCAGCTCGTAATTAATCTTGGATTCGATCAAATCCCTGCAAATCAACACTTTATTGCTTCATTTCTGGTCCACTTTGATGCTTTCTCCGCTAAAACGAAGTGACTCAATTGAGTTCATTAAACACTTCCATTATCGTGAAAATTATTTCACAATATAAAAATATCGTTACTCAGACAATGAGCTACACATGCTACTGAAATCACAGATCATAAAACCACAACCGAGTAATTGAATGGCCTATGGACTTGTCTCGAAACTTGGAGTTTCTGGTTTCCATCCCTGGTGGAGTAGTAGGTAGGTACAGCCGAGGATGAGACATTGTCCATTGCTATCTGGCTTTCAGTGATTCTCTAAGGGATGTTGGTTTGTCACAAAGTCTTCATTGAAATAAATCAGAATCCCTAATAAAATTTTAAATCACTTTTCCACTGTTATCGAATACTTCTACTTTTCCTATACTGTAAATTTACTCATCTTAGGAACAAGAGAATTATCGAAAGGACATATGAGAATGAAAAGTACCCCAGCCATTTTTTGGGGAGAGCTTTCATCAACGTAAAGTCAAGACGATAAATTAAATTTGAACTGTTAAAAGTAAGATTTCTGGGATAGGCAGTATACAAAAAGAATAAACATTTCTTTGAGTTACTTACAAGTAAAATAACTTTTCAAGCAAACAACAAATGTTAATAAATTAGAATTTCATGAATTCATCAAATTTTGATAGAACTCCTTATCTGAATATTCTACATACAGATATATATTTTTTATCCTTTTACCTTCCCAGTGGAACATAGGGTTTCAAGCTAAAGGCTTGAAGTTTCGGTAGGAGTGGTGTTTATTTTCACGTGTTGAGGTTGCTAGCCTTATTCCCGACCTTCTCTCTTTACTAGTCTTACCACTGGCTTAGTGAGGTAAACGAGTGCGTCAGTCGGGGATTGAACCCCGGACCACATGCGTGGTTGGCGAGCATTCTACCGCTGTGCCACCCGATGCACAGAGATACATATATACTGCCAAAATTATACTGGGAGAAAAACGACTGGTAATAAAATAAACTATGATGAATCATTCATGCAGGTCAGATAGGTGAAGGGGAAGGGGTATAAGGGATTGAAATTTAGATAGTAATGGATTACAGTCCAGTTACGTCACCATAATAAACAATTAGTTATTAGAGAAGGAACCTAAACTATCCTTAACTACAGAATGAATAAGAGTGATAGCCATAATGAAATGGTACTGAAAAGAGATCGAATAAAATAAATTTGTAATAATAACAGTTAGTAGGAACGCGATAACCGAACGCCTTGTCAACCCTGGTCATTCAATCTCAACAAACTCTTCCTCCTTCAAAGTAATCTACAAAGTGAAGAATAACCTGCCAAAGGCAACATACTTTCGTCCTATTTGCATTGCTGAAGCTTCAGCCATTCAGTTAGAAAAACAGGAGCCATGTACACAAAAGAAAAAATTTGGGCCGGGTATTCAATGTTTCTAATATTTTAAACATTTGGATGACATTTATTGGGGAATGCAGGTACATCCGGATGACGAGTCCGAAAGCAAGACGAAATGCGCATCCTGAATTCTACTGTCAGTCACTATTAACCAAGTGACTTTGATGAAATTATTATTGTCATCAGTTCATCCTGAGACATTTTGTACTCATAGTTTAGATTCTAGTCATTCTTTCTCATAATTCAATGTGCAAGCTTCGTCTGAAGACAGGCATTAAAAATTCAAGAAAAATGAAAATACAATTATGATTTTATAGAAAATGTGTATAAGATATTAGAAAAAAACAATACATAATGCTAGCATAATTCACTCACTTAATGTACAAGCGGATCATTGATCCTATGAGGCAGAATTTGTTCTTCTAACTGTTCCAGTTTATCTTCCAAATCTTCTATAACTTGATTGCTTCTACTATATTCATCTTCTGATCTACAGAGATGATTAGTATAATTTTTCTGTCGGTCTATATTTCTTTGATTATTTGAAAACCATCTGTCATAATTATGCGTAGTGTTTATTCGACTATCAGGTAAAATAACAGATTTATTATTTGAACGAATTAATTTAACTGGTTTAGGAAAAGTTTTTGGCAGATTAGAATGAATTCCTAGCTTGCTTAATTCTTCTCGAGATCCAGCTACAACAGCACGACGAATTTCAATTAATTCTTGTAATCGATCAAAGGAACTTTGTAAAATCCTTTTTTCACCACTCGATGGTGGTGAAGTAATAGTATGATCTGGTGTAACAGGTTTACATGAAACTGAATAATTTTCATTTATATAGCGTTTTCTAAAAGATGGTAGATTTTTTAAAGAAGATGTACTAGAAGCGAGACGATCACTCAATGGTGTATACATTGTACTAGCATAACGTTCTGACTTTTGAATACTGTCAAACCCGAAATTGTCCCGAAAGGTGAATTGTCTTTCTTGAGTAAATAATTGTGGACTTTCTCGTAAGGATTTACACTGTTCTTTATAAACATGAGATGAATTATTTTTATTCTGTTGTGTGTACCATGAATCTTCTCTAAATGTTTTTTGGTTAATCACTGAGTTCAGTTGTCCTTTTAGTTGTACTACTTCTCCACGGAGTTGTGTAATTATATGATCATTTTCTTGTTGAGGATGTGTTTTTTCAGGAAGTGTTTCTAATAGCTTTTCTACTCTTTCACATGCTTTTCTTAAACGTGTTTCAGTCGTTTCTTCCCAGTCAGCCAGACGTCTTTTTTCATCGTTATATAGAGCTAATAAAGACAGTGAACCATCACACGAAGCTGGACTATTCAGCTGGAAATTTTCACTTTTGCCGTAACTTAGACTTCGAGAGTACGACTGTCTAATTTGATGTGGATCATACTCGTCAACTTCAGGGTGTTTTTGTAGTGTTCGACATCGTTTCTTGTTTGTTTGTACTGAAGGTTGTTCATTATGACATTCGGATTCTGGAGAATGAGATTTTTGAGATTGAGTAGAATACTTCAACGTGTCTTCAACAAATTCAGGTGACTGACAAGTTATCATTTTCCATAAATTTTCAGCTGTAGTTTTTTGTTTGACAAATAAACTGCTTGGTATTCCATTAGTTGATATCATATGAGCATTTGATAAGAATTCAGAAAATGTTACTTGTTCCAATAGTTGTTGTGCATGTTCTAAAAATAAAGTTACTATTGGACCTAGACTATGTGGACCTTCAATTTCAGCGCCAACTTTAGCATTGACAATTGAATTCAATTGTACAATAACTTTCTGGACTAAATCGAAAGTATTAGAAAAATCTGTTTGTAGTGAATAATCTTCATTATTTATATTATCTGCTAAACATAAAGCATAGTAAATCTGTTGAATTTGCTGTTTACTAAAGATGAATTCATTTTCCAATGAGGCAGTTAACCATATTTCTAAACCAGTACGTAGCAAATCTTTATTGGCTTGTATAGCTAAAAGTCCCAAACGTTGACTTAACATCCACAGCGTGGTTTTCAATTGTTTATCCAATTTAAGAATCATTTTTTTATCAATTAAACTTTGTAATTTTTTCAAGGCATCTTCTTCTTTCGTTGAAAAATGTGTATAATCTTTTAAGCTTGATGGTAAACGCATTGATGCATCACGAAGAACAACTATAGACGATAGAATTGCAGACATTTCATCCGGTTGTAATGTGTTAATAGCTAGTAAATGATTTAATCGATTTATTTCAGGTCTTACATCTTCAACTGGATATAGAACAGTTTCACAACTTGTAAAATTAATCAAAGTATCTGATGGTGTATCAGATTTGATTTCAACAGCAACATCATCAGCATCATCATCATGAACATACTGACAGGCAGACTTCATACGATCAATTCTTAGTGGACACATTTGTGTTTTATTACCATTACTACTACTATTACTACCACCATCTATTGATAAGTTCATATAAATTTTGTTTATATTTTCTCTCAATTTTTTAGCGGTCTCTTCATATGTTATACTTAATTGTTGTCGCTGTTGTTGTACCTGAGGCGTATACTCTTTATCCGACAGTCTTGAATACTTACAAAGTTCACTGATTAATTTATTGCATAGATAATATTGTAAATGTGGTATATATTCTAAATCTTCATGAAATAATTTCGAGAACATCAGCTTGTGCTGAAATTGTTCTGAATCTATAATCATTTGTATTAAATCAAATACACTTAATTGACTTAACGGTGCATCAAGTAGTTGTTTCAATCTTTCATTTAATGTATAAATATTTTCTGAAGAGGTTAATTTTACAGAAATATTATTCTTAATAACACTTTTCTGTAACTCAATACATTTGTCGTGTTTTTCATCAGTATCTTCTAATAATACATATTTTAAAAAACACAATATCAGTGGAATTGATCTACTAATATTAACATTAGTCTCTGAAAATTCGTCATCATTTGTAATAACTTTCAACAAATGGTTTGCAAACATATTGAGATTTAAGCGAAACAATTCATAGATGCATGAATTCAATCGCTGATAACTATGCTTTGGTAGCATACTCCATGAATTGATTATTTCTTCACAAGTACAACTGTAAACTAATGATGTTTGTATAATTGTTATAATATCTTGTGAAAGATTTTCACGAAACTGATCTTTTGCAAAAAGGCAGTTAATTAAACAACTGTCTAATGTGTGTGATGTACAAGTTGTCCTGAATGTTGTGTTATCTAGTAAGGAATCATACTGATTATATTGTAATAGAGGGTTTTCATTAGGCATACTAGAACTAATTAAACTTCTCAAATAAGAAATAGTTTGTACAGAAATATATGGATTAGACATATCATGAAGAAGTTGAAGGTGATGGAGTATATTTATAGTTTGGCTTAAGGGATAATGATTTAATAGCATAAAAGTTCTTAGCAACTGTGCAAGATTTTTTCGTTTTGCCGTTTCAATAGAGATACATGTTAGATTTGGTTTAATTAGATTTCGTTCATCGCATTCATTTAATATATCGATTAATTCATGTCGAATACTTTTCATTAGATACTCTGAGGCTTTTTGTTTTAATTCATTTATTAGACGAAATTCGAACTTCGAAATCCATAATTTCTCCATATTTGCAGATGATATCCATAGATGACATTCAATTTCGTTTAGTAAATAAAAAGAGTATGGTTTATGAACATCTGGATATATATAGTGAAGAATATTTTGTATACTTGAAGCGAATGGAGCTGCATCAGTTGGTTGAATAAGAAATAATTCAGGAAGTTCGAAAGATGTTGACGATGATATTGTTGTGAATGACATTCTAGATAAAAGAGAATTTAAACACACAACTGAGGCAATAATATCAGTGTTTGCCATTGTTTCACTCGGTTTAATATTAGCAGAGCACAGGGCTAAACGTAAGGCTTCCTTTTCAAAATTCGAAATACTGATGAACTCTTGTTCACATTCGCTTTGTAATTCTTTTAAAAAGTTTATACATATCCATGCATTTCTTGGTCCATTCATTTGTTTATTTAATAAGGATAAGCAGATTGCATTGCGTAATTGTTGATTTGTCATTTCAGCGGTTAAATCACACTCTGTACTTATTGAAAGCTCACGTATACTAACTGTACGTTTTATTTGTGAATACAATTCTAGACGAGGTTTCCAGTAGTCAGTCAACGATTTTATTTCATTTTGTTCTAATTTTAATAATTCTAAGGCATAAGGTGAATGGCGATATGCATGCTGGTAGTGTTGATGTGACTGACTACAGGCTACAAATGTATACCACATTCTTAAGAGTAATAATTTTATCCATGAATTAGAAGCGGATATGTTGAAAGCACTGTCTTCTGTATCATTATCAATAAGATTATTTATTACTTCAATATTTCTATTTACAAGATAGGCAAGTGATACACACATAACTGCAGCATCTTCTCTGTTTATCATTTGAAATGAAGACGGTTCATTCAACTTTTTATTGAAATAACTTTCCATCATTAGTATACATTGGAAAATATATGGAATATATGTAGATGGACTGTTAGTTGATTGTAAATTTTCATCATTACAAAGATTACTTAAAGTTTGTTCAATCAGTTGAAAAATGAACGGGTATCTGAGTGGATTACACGTTGATTGATTGAAATTATCCATAATACAAGCTATTTGTTTAGCTTTTAAAGGATTGATAAATCCTTGCAATGGATTAAATAAAATTAATTGAAGACATCTTGACACCTGTTGACAATGATTTTTTGTATTAAAATCATTATTATCAGCTGTAATTGTATGTAATGAATTAAGGCCTTCAGTGAACAGTTTAACTCTTTGTATGCCTGATATCCATTTTACATGTTTACATAAATCATCAATTAGGTGTTTGTTGTATTCGTCGATAAAAGTACTTTGATTTGTAATGAAATTAAACAATAGTCTAGTAATTAAATGTTTTAAATGAGCTTTTAATTTCTTCTCATGAATTATTGCAGACTGAAGTATTTGTAAAAGATACACTAAAAGTAGAATGTCACTGGTTGATAAACTTTGCTCTAGTTTCTTTATATCTATAAAATTCTCCAAAAGATTAGTAAAGAAGAGTATGTAGTGTGTATTTAAGTATGAAAAAGATGTTGTCGATGATGACGATGGTTCTTCACTGACTGACATAGGCGCATTGATCTCAAGTAATTCCTGTAGTGAATTAGCACCTTTAAACATGATTAGAATGTTATAAGATGAAAAGAGATTTTTTAAACAATATGCATAATTTTTGGCATTGTGAATAAAACTATGTGTCACTAATAAGTCAATCATAGATCGTAGATACTTGACACAATTCAGTGATAAGTTTGGTAAACACATCAAAACTAGATAGTAGATATCTTTACAGGCAGTTATTTCTGAGTTTTGAGTAAGCTGTTCACCTGACTGATTAATCATCAGTAATTTTGAAATATGAGTGAGTTTTTGTAAAATTTCCAATTTTATTTCAGATTCATAGTATGAAAGTAGGGATTTACACGAATGAATTTCAGCAGTGGAAAAAACAAATGGTTGTTGTTGCTGTTGAATTTTGGTTAAATGACAATAATTCCTTAAACGTTGTTCTAAATTATTAAGTAATTCATTAGGCATAACCTGATTCACTTGATTTTGAAAACCTGATGAAGACAATAAATCCCTGAAGGCACAATAGACAAAACGAGATTCTATCTCACATATAGGAATATCATATGAAATAATATCAAAAAGAATTTTAAAATTCAATACTTTTGTACATAAAACCATGGTTTCTGGTAATTTTTGATGCTTAGAGGCCTCGAAAACTGTAGATAATTGATTCAGATCACTAGAAGATAACTTGATCAGTGGACGTTGCGTGGGACACTGCTCAGTATGCAACATTTCTACCTGTGAGCTGATATTTTCTATCAATGAAACTAATGGAATAGTTTGTATGGTAGGCAGCTGTTTCAACTCCAAATATGACTGTATTGTTGATTTTAACAAAATTGCTGTTTCAATATCAATATCTTGTTCAAGTATTTCAGGTGATGAATAAAGCTCATCTTTGACTTTTCCCTGACCACAGTTTTCTGCTTCATTCTGTGAATTTGACATTACAGATATTAGATGGTTAACCTTTTCAACTTTAGCATTTAATAATTGTTGGGCTTTTGTTTCCAGTGCTGAAATATGTGATGTGATTTTGTGTAAAGCATTCTGTTGAATTAGGTTAGATGGGTTAAACACATCTGATAGGCTGTAGGCTTTATTTTCCACTTTGTATTCTAAAAGCTTATAATATACATCATCCATTTCTTGTATTTCATCAGGAGTCAAATTGTTCACCAACTCTTCATCTAAGCGTACTTCACTGATAAAAGTAGCAAGATTATTAATTTGATTAGATTCTACTATGGCATCGTCAGAGGATTTAGAAGTAAGGGTGCGGAAAACACGAAAGCTGTCGGATAGATTAACAAATTTTTCAATGGCTACATTCATTTCTTTACACTCTTCACTAGTGTTGATAAATTCTGTTGTAGTGTTGACTAGTGGATTTTCAACACTTGAACATTGTGCTGTTTCACAAGTTTTCAAAATATTCAATTGTGATGGTGATAAAGATGGCGCGTTGATCAGTTGTTCTTTGTTATAGTCGTATTTAGCTATTGGAGTTGAAGTCTCGCATATATTTTCTTCCTTTTCTAAACAGGTATAATCATGATATGGTAATTCAGCTGGATGAATTACTTTCCCTGTGTCTACCATTTCATTTATGATATAGTTGAGTTGTTTTTGAAGACATTTCAAGTGTATACTTTCTTCTTCATTTAACTTGTACGGAAATAACTTTTCCCGAGTTGTTAACATACTGATTAGTGAACATTTTAAGCATTCTGGTATTGTATTTATTTCCAATGAATGTGATCTAGCTAAATACTCCAGTTCCATAGTATTAACTAACAGTCTGTATGCTGATATTGGATTAGCAATTTCATCGTTAATTTTAATTCTATTGAAAAATTCTTGAATTCTTTTCAATTTTATACAAAGTATATCCTTACGAAGAGGTTTTGGATAGGTATCGCTGAGGTTAGCATTATTGTTATTATTATTACTAAGGTTAGATAAGAAATTCATAGGAATAATAGTTTGTGTAGACTGTTCATTCTCATTATTACCCTGTTGAAAGAGAACACAGTAGTCACGTAGAGAATCAAAATCTTTAGGGGATATTTTCAACTCTTTTGAATATGACAGAACTGCTAACTGACCAAGAATTAAATCACCTGCAAGCTGATCTTTATTATTATTACCATCATGATTCGTACACTGTTTATCTTTGAGACATTCCGAAATACTTGTCTGTATTGTGTTTAATTCAGCACTGGATATTTTATCAATTACTTGTTGAATTTTTACCATAGACTTTGAATTCATTATAAGCGGAGTAGAATGTATAATACAGTTGGGAATAATATCCAATTTAACTGAATTTATAAAATCTTTCTCTTCTTCTTCTAAGCTTTCCATAATTTCTGTTTGATTTTTAATCATTTCTAGAATACAGAATAGATTTTCTGCATTATTCGTACTCAGTATACAGTCTTCATTTTGATTGACAACACCTTTCAGATTTGTCTTCAATTGATTTAACTGTGCTAACAGAATCACTTGATCGCATACATCAGCAGTGGAAGAAGAAGAGGAAGAAGATGGTTGAGGCATTTGTAAAATGTTCTGTACAATTTTTGAGTCGTCTTTTGATAATTTAACCTCATCTATGGTTGTTTTGCATTCTAAAACTTGTTTATTAATATGTGAAATAGTAAACCAAGTTGTCGGCTTCAATTCCTGATCAATTATACGAACAATTAGATTTGATTGGATAGAAGTTTTTATAGAATCAACAGTGTCAATGGTGCCTTCTACCTGATTATTATCAGGTAGATTACCGATAGTTTGATTTATGTCGTTCATACGGTATTCTTTTGCATGACTGACTACATTATTAGAATACACGACTAATTTATTCAAAGTTTCTTCATTCATATGATAACTATGATTATTAACTTCGGCTAAATGTATATCTCGCATGATTTGATGTGTTGATTTCAAAATTCCTTGAGGTAGCACCGTTGATGATGACGACATCATTTCTGATAAACAGCTTTTAAGTAACCTACAGTATTGTGGTTTTATCTCTAATCCATTTGTCACAGTTTCTGTTTTTGGTTGATTAAGAATTTCGCGTAGTGTTAAAGCATGTAAGAATAAATTATGACTATTAGATTTTTGTTCACTGATGTATACTGGAAACTCCTTCTCACAATTTACTTCATCAAATGAAACTGTACAAACTTCTAACTTGTTAGATGAATACTTTTTAGTTTTGTATGGAACTATCGAGTTCCCTTGTTGTACATCAAAATTTTCATGAATTAATGCAACACTTCTTAGTGGAGAAATACTTGAATATAGTCTCTGTGAAATGTAATCATCTCTATGCAATGGAATTGATGTATTTGCATTTTGTAATGAGTTCATTAAATTCTTCATAATCATTGTTAGTGAATTTTGTAGATTTATTTGAAAATTTGAACGAAGCAATAAAAGGATACTCAGTAAAATATTTGCTTCTGCTGAACTGAAATCTGTAAATTCATAATACAAACGTCTTTGAGATAATAAGAGACTAAGTAAAATAAGCGGTTGCATAAACTTCATAGTTTTATATTCTGATAATTCTGTGAGACATTCAGATACAACTTGGAGGATAGAAGAATTTATATCTGTCAAGTTTAGATAGTGATGGTCATTTTTACCTTCCACAACTGGTTCAGTGTGCGAAATGCTTGAAATGAGAGATGATAATGGTTGAGAAATATTGTCAAACAATTTAATACACTTTGAGTTCACTAAAGAGTGATAAAAATCACAGAATTCACTCAAAGTCTTGGCAATTTCATGTGGATTTAAATTTTTGGTACCCTTTACAAGTGCTACATTTAAAGCTATTAGAATTCCACATACGATATCATCAGTTTCACCGTTTACAAAATAATACTGTTTACTTGTCAGCTTATCTTTAGTTCGATTTAAAATATCTTCAATGTGTTTTTGAAAAATATCACTGTGTTTAGTTGTTTGTACGCATACCTTGATTGATGGTAGCATTTTGTTAATTGCTCGGTATATCTCACTGTCAGGAGTGGTATTATGTGAACTGAACAAATTAAATAGTGATTTCAGCTTTGTACACACTGGTGAACAGTGAATAGATGGCAATTCAGAATAATCAACTAATGATTGAAAATTTTTATGTATATTTATTAAATAAATCACTTGATCCATTTCATTTGGCAAAAGACAAAATAAGTCTAGAATGTATAAAGAGATGACAGTTTGGATGAAGTTGATTGGTCTTGCTGAACGAATGCAATCATTCGGCAGTCTGGGAGAAGAATATCCTACTATTTCTTTCATTGATCCATCCCTATTAATCATATTTTCTGATTGTAATTCAATATGAAGTACTTCTAGAAGTTGTTTCAATTCACTACTTAATTCCTGTTTGAATTGTTCTGAATTATTTGAAAGGCATTCTATGTCATCGGAGCTGTTAATCACAGCTAGCAAAGATGGATATTTGTCAGGTAGAATAGATAAGGAGTAATTTGAAACAACTGAGCACAGCTGTTCAATAAATGGCTTGTTAAAGACAACATTTTCATTATCTTGTAATGTATTAATTAGAAATGTCAAGTCTTCATTGACTACTGGTCCGTTTTCTTCGTCTTCTTCTGCTTCTGTTTCTTCAGTAGCCATACGTGTATGACTTGGATTTTCTACATCTATACACGAATCCAACTGAAGTTTTAGCATATTAGTATAAGTTGACTGATCTGCTGTCAATAACTTACTTAAAAGGTTATAATTTGTACCGGTAAGTGGAACAGGTTGTCCAGGATTTTCATATAAACAGTTGGTTAGATAATTACTGATTTTTTTCACATCATTCATTGTGTACTCTGACTTCTGTTGGTGGTCACTTTCACTGAATATATTACTTTGATTATCGAGTATTTTTGATTTTAAAAAGCTTACAATAGGCGCTATAATAGATGAGTCAATAAGAAAAGTACCCTCTGCCCTATACTGGTCTGATATTAAATTATAAGAGGTATTTGAAGAATTATCAGAATTAACACTGTGGGTTTCTTTATTATGTTCACCTAATGTATCATCAATGAAGGTTGATAAATCTGGATAATCGACTCCGACAGCAGAAACTATTGAAACAGTCTGTGATGTATTTTCAGGTTGTACTTTTGAGCAAATTGACAACACCTGAGTTTCATCATCTGAATGATATGCATTAGTTTCATTTCTTTGATGATATTTAGGTGATAGTAATTTTTTGATTTTAGAAATTTTTGTCTTGACAACTGATTCATTGGACAGTGTATCTGTTTCATATGCACTTGTTTCTGGTGTACAGTGTTCACTTATTGGACTTAGAATATCTTGAAATCTACTCATTGTATTATCATAAGTTATATAATTAGTAGATGTGTTATTTACATTTATGGTAGACTCATCTTTCGGTGAGGCTTTAATGTGTGAATTCGATTTATTACAGTATTTTGTAAAGGCATCTTCAAGTAAATTCATATCAGATGATAGGCAGAAAATTGTATTATTTTCTGAAGAATCTTTATCATCTAAAGTTAACTGTTTTGCAATAGATTTATAAATATATTTCAAGTGGTCAGCATTGCATGCTTGTTGAATGTTCTTATTATCTTTGGTAGTGTTTGAAGTAATACTAGAAGTGTATAACTCATCTTCAATTAGTTTTAAAGCTGCAACAATATCAATAGCAGATTGTCTCTGTAAAATACATTGGTTATTCCTTTGATTAGTTTGTTTTAATATATTCTCTTTGATAGCCTCTAGGCCTTGAGTGACTATGAGTTTCTGGTTTAAATTAATTACATCATCTAGGTGTTCAATTATCTCTGAACTTAACTCAGAGTCTTTTTCAAATGAGATGTCTACAGTATTAAGATTTTCTAGGGAATTAATCACTTCTTCAATACTGTCAGACATATACTGTGTATCTTTGAGAAGTGACAGTTTATCATTAGATTTAATCAATTTTGTAACTTCTAATAATGTAGCCTTGATTTGATCAAATTCTGCAAGTTTAGTTTTACTACTATTTGTATTACTATCACTGTTATCATTATTACTATCAGATTGTTCTGTGTTCTGAATTGACAGTAATAACCTTTGCCTTGTATTCTGAAGAATTTTCAACACTTCAGTTAATTCTAAGCTTGATAATGGAGGCTTCTTAGGAGGTTGAAGTTTGTTTCTGTCGGCTAGACCAGTAGTGATTAAGCCTTCATAAATATTTTGACGATCGTTTATACTTAAAAGTAATATACATGCCTGACTGTCTGATTGCATCACTTCTTGCATGCTTTTGTGTATAATATTTAGCCTATCGAGTAGTTTACGATTTGATGGTGAGCATAAGATGTCTGCTTGAATTAACTCATTCATAGTTGGCATTATTGACTGAATATCTTTAGCAGTTAGAGAACTTGAAGTCATTAACTGATGTATTGGACATGAGAGTGAGCTAAAACTTTTAAGAGTTTGTGAATTTCGCTTTAACACAGTGTAGCGTATTTCATTCGAGTGGTTATTGTTATTATTATTATTATCATTGAGACGGTTTTTATTTTTGTCGGATACATGAACTAAGTAGCCATTAGAAATATTTTCATTGACTCTTTTTTCAGTCAGTGAGTACTTTTCCAATTGAATTTGTGAAGAGAAATCCTTCTTATGCTCATTACCATCATCATCATCACCATCATTTTGTTCACATGATCCAGTTTCTTCTGTAATTTGTGATTTTTCTGAAATGATCGGAGACTTGCCTTCTGTATTTGTTACTAGTTGTTTGCATTTCTTTTTTCTTGTTAGAGTGTTTGATGCATAAACTATTTTTTGACGACAATTTTCTGAAAGTAATGAATATTGTATTAAGATGTTAATATTTACGAATTAAACTGAAATATCATGAATTGATTTTGAACAGAATAGAAAGATCTAGGTATATAAGCTGTAAAAAGGTGAAACAACACTAGAAGATTTCTTCACTAGCATCAGGTTCTACAGTTATGTATCCGTGATAATAGTAGAACTTAATCTTTCGTACTCAGGAACATCTACCACTTCGATATTGGACCACTTGGTCCAGACAGATCATGAAGTTAGCATTGAAGAAACTTTTTCTATCATCTACCAGGCACCAGATATATCGTCGAAGGCTTCTAGGTATCGAATACTCTAAAGAGCATAGTCCATTTCAACTGGCTTAAAATAACCAGAGTTCTGCATGAGAAAGAAACAGGTTAAGCTACTATTGTTACACTAGTCTGCTGTGAAACTCCTAAATTCATGAATTCTGTATTACTTTCCTCAATTTATCTGATATTCAAGTTTAGTGTTATACTGATGAGATTGAACTGTAATCCAGTGATCTTAATGATTCGGTGTTGTTTAAAACAATAATTTTATTGACGATAATTCACTAATTCATTATTGTGGATACATCACTATAGAACTTGATGAAGAAGTAATCAAAAACAATAGTTTATCCTTCAAATACGGATAAATCAGGTTGTATTATCGGTTAAAATTGTTCTCCAAAATTACTGATTTAAAACAAAAAGAATATTTTATGGAGCTTACTTGAATATTTCATCTTTTAATATCTTTTATGCAGTAACTGGTAACCAACATCAATTTATAAATCGTTTATTTCGCAAGGTGAAACATTCTATTGTGTTTCTTATAAGTATGTATGATTAGAGCAAACATTTCTAAGTAGGTATGTGGCTTCTGAAGTCGTTGTTCATTCAGTACCTAACTGTTTATCACTAAATGACATTCGGGGCATTATAAAAATTTAACATACTAAGAATTATTCTGTGGACTATCTTATTAAGCTAGAGTGAACTGCTACAACGAAAAGCCGCAGTATCATTGCTCAGATATCCTCTCTGCCGGCGAGCTACTGTAAAGTGGACTATACTGGAGACCAGAGTAAAAGTAATAGATTATTTATGAGGGATACGAGTGATTAGTTTGTTTCAAAAGGACTTAACAAATCACAATATTGGATTATATATTTAAGAAAGACAGATCGGATTTGAGAATTACTGGTAAACTATGTGAAAGGGTAATTAGTGTTGGTAGTGTAAATCGTGGGGTAGAAGGTTCTTGGGAACTTTAGTTATGGTATATGTTTTAATACATTTTGTCTGACCGGAGTAACATTGTTATTGAAGTCATTTAAGGATAAAGGTCAAGGAGAAAAATCCCTAATGCTTAAAAGTAAAAAACGAAATGAAATAAGAAAGCTTGCCTTACCAGTCAGTCTGTCTTATTCAGTAGTTTTAAAAAGACAGATTTATTGTTAGGGAAGTTGAACGATTAGTGATTTATTATTACAAGATATTAAACACATATTTACACGATTCATTTATGCGTTCAGAAGCTTATTATATTTTCCTAAATTTCTTTACAAGCACTGTCTATGAATGCTAACTAATAAAGAGTTATCAAGTGTTGGTCTGCAGGGATTTGATTGATTACAGGTTTGATCACGAAGTAGTATCAGTTGGAGAACCATTGGAAAATATAGGGGTACTAGGCATCTGTCTCGTCCTAATTTGGGACTCCTCAATAGTACGCACCCACTGGGGTTAGAATCCAGGACATCCCGGTTACAAAGCCAGCTCGTAGATCATTCAGCCACCGGAACCCGACTCAGTGTCAACTCAAGAATTCTAGCATCCGACGGGTACGAACTGCGATGGGTGCGTACTACTGAGGAGCTTTCCAGTGCTCCAAAGTTTTTCAAGGGATCTCTAACTGATGTCAATCTCATGACTGAACCTGTAATAAAGATTTGACGATAGAGGTAATATGTCCTCTGAGTTGTAAAATTCTACGTCCAGCCCGATACACGATATATTTGTTGCAAATAGTAATGTTGACAGACACTCAGTATTTAATAGTTATGTGGTGAGAGCTGTCTACTAGCCAAATTGGTTGACAGTAATTGAGGTCAAAGGTCAAGGTGGACAGGCGGTTACAGTTAACATATAAATGAACTGACACAGCCACAAGAGATGCAAGGTTAACTTTGTTTGAGAAACAACCAATCAACAGACTGTATTTTCTACTAACATTGACCTACAATAATGTACATAAAAATCTATAAATACGTGTTGATTTTTCGTAATAAACGATCTGTTGCCTGGCCCTTGTCTTCTGTTGTTACATTTGGTGTCGCTGCCTACCGACAAATGGAAAGCCTATGCCCTGCAGTTTTTGATGAAGACATATGGATCTTCGGGCAGGACTTTGAGGCTTATTCGCAGTTGAGTGGCGTTCAAGATCTTTCAGCGATAAGGCTGCTACTTGGGACGCTGCTGGGAGGTCGGGAGAAAGCAGCATATGGAAGTGTGAGGCGAAATACCTACGAATGTGCGACAGGGTCAGGCAAACAGTTTCCAAAGTGGGAAGGGCCATATATGGTCACGTTGAGATGGGGTTACGCAGACACAATCGCAATGGTAAACACCGCTAAACAAGTGGACATCCGCAAGTGCCGAGATTCCAGACAGCAAGACAACAGAGCAAAGTCCCAAGAACCGGGAAGACCGAGCCGACTTCAGTCCAAACTATTTGACGGGGGGACGAGTGTGGTGAGAGCTGTCTACTAGCCAAATTGGTTGACAGTAATTGAGGTCAAAGGTCAAGGTGGACAGGCGGTTACAGTTAACATATAAATGAACTGACACAGCCACAAGAGATGCAAGGTTAACTTTGTGTGAGAAACAACCAATCAACAGACTGTATTTTCTACTAACATTGACCTACAATAATGTACATAAAAATCTATAAATACGTGTTGATTTTTCGTAATAAACGATCTGTTGCCTGGCCCTTGTCTTCTGTTGTTACATTTGGTGTCGCTGCCTACCGACAAATGGAAAGCCTATGCCCTGCAGTTTTTGATGAAGACATATGGATCTTCGGGCAGGACTTTGAGGCTTATTCGCAGTTGAGTGGCGTTCAAGATCTTTCAGCGATAAGGCTGCTACTTGGGACGCTGCTGGGAGGTCGGGAGAAAGCAGCATATGGAAGTGTGAGGCGAAATACCTACGAATGTGCGACAGGGTCAGGCAAACAGTTTCCAAAGTGGGAAGGGCCATATATGGTCACGTTGAGATGGGGTTACGCAGACACAATCGCAATGGTAAACACCGCTAAACAAGTGGACATCCGCAAGTGCCGAGATTCCAGACAGCAAGACAACAGAGCAAAGTCCCAAGAACCGGGAAGACCGAGCCGACTTCAGTCCAAACTATTTGACGGGGGGACGAGTGTGGTGAGAGCTGTCTACTAGCCAAATTGGTTGACAGTAATTGAGGTCAAAGGTCAAGGTGGACAGGCGGTTACAGTTAACATATAAATGAACTGACACAGCCACAAGAGATGCAAGGTTAACTTTGTGTGAGAAACAACCAATCAACAGACTGTATTTTCTACTAACATTGACCTACAATAATGTACATAAAAATCTATAAATACGTGTTGATTTTTCGTAATAAACGATCTGTTGCCTGGCCCTTGTCTTCTGTTGTTACATTTGGTGTCGCTGCCTACCGACAAATGGAAAGCCTATGCCCTGCAGTTTTTGATGAAGACATATGGATCTTCGGGCAGGACTTTGAGGCTTATTCGCAGTTGAGTGGCGTTCAAGATCTTTCAGCGATAAGGCTGCTACTTGGGACGCTGCTGGGAGGTCGGGAGAAAGCAGCATATGGAAGTGTGAGGCGAAATACCTACGAATGTGCGACAGGGTCAGGCAAACAGTTTCCAAAGTGGGAAGGGCCATATATGGTCACGTTGAGATGGGGTTACGCAGACACAATCGCAATGGTAAACACCGCTAAACAAGTGGACATCCGCAAGTGCCGAGATTCCAGACAGCAAGACAACAGAGCAAAGTCCCAAGAACCGGGAAGACCGAGCCGACTTCAGTCCAAACTATTTGACGGGGGGACGAGTGTGGTGAGAGCTGTCTACTAGCCAAATTGGTTGACAGTAATTGAGGTCAAAGGTCAAGGTGGACAGGCGGTTACAGTTAACATATAAATGAACTGACACAGCCACAAGAGATGCAAGGTTAACTTTGTTTGAGAAACAACCAATCAACAGACTGTATTTTCTACTAACATTGACCTACAATAATGTACATAAAAATCTATAAATACGTGTTGATTTTTCGTAATAAACGATCTGTTGCCTGGCCCTTGTCTTCTGTTGTTACAGTTATACCTCTCCAAGACAGTCAGCTCTCTATCTCAACTTCATTGGCTTTGAAAAGGATTTCAACAGTTTCGATCTAGATGTGAATTGGAAACTAATTCACCACTACGGGATGCCGCCAACAGTGATACACCTCAATATACGTGTAAAACTTGGGCACTGTGGTAGTAAGTAATTCCATATTCCATACTGTTTCACTGTGTGATATACCTAATAAACAAACTAATATGGAATTAGTGATACACCTCATCCAACAGTTGCACGATAATGTTGCATGCCAAGAAATTCACGACGGTAAACTCATGGAATCGCTCAAAGTGAAGGCGGGAGTAAGACAAGCTGGCTGCCTACTATCTCCAATGATTTTCCTGATTGCGATAGACTTGATAATGTTTCACACAGCGGGCAGCAAGGAAACAGGCATAAAATGGACTCACACAAAAAACTTGGAGGATCTGGACTTTGCCGATGATATATGTCTGATTTCCTACAAACTCGAAGACATGCAAGTGAAAAGCAACAAGTTGACAGAAAAAGCATCAAAGATAGGACTTCACTTCAGGTGAATATAGAGAAGACAGAGGTAGAGAAGATTCCTGGTCAACAGCAACAGCAACAACAGGCAACAATCAGCATAAATGGAGAAATGTGAAAGAAGCAACCTCATTTAACTACCTACCTACCTGGAACTGATGAGTATATCAAAGCGGGAATTGGGAGAGCAAGGTAAGCTTTCATTACTCTCAAGTCTGTGTGGAGGTCAACAGTACTCAGCATGAAAAATAAGATCCGGATTTTCAACTTCATTGTGGAGTCAGTGCTGCTATACGGATCAGAGACTTGGAGCGTCACGAAGGGCACACTTCGAAAGAACTACAGACCTTTATCAACAGCCGTCTTCGCTCAGTACTACTCAAGATCAGCAGATGGCTAAAAACTATCAGCAACAGGGATCTCTGGGAGCGAACCAACCCAACAGGAACCAACTGTGCAGGAAATATGCAGGAAGAATGGGAGGTGGATTGGCCATACTCTAAGAAAACCATCAAGTGACATCGCAAGCCAGGCCATCGCTCAAATGGAACCTGAATGGGAAGCGGCGAGTCAGTCATCAGTGCGGGGGTGACATGGAGGAGGTCACGTGAAGAGGAGATGAAAGCATGTCGGCAGACATGGAGCCAGGTGAAAAAGTTGGCAGGGGATCGGACGCAATGGAGACGTGCTGGTGAAGCCCTATGTTCCTCTAGGAATTAAATGAAACAATAATAATAAGTTATTTCAGTCACATCAAGTGATTACTTCACAGGGCTTTATCTGTTTTAACATTTGAATGTTGGCTAAATTATGAACGGTGATCATGATCTGATGCCATAGCTCCACAAACACTGGGTAGTGAGTAGAAAGTAGGTATATATAACTCTAAGAGAAATTGGAATAAGTAAACATACATTTGAAAATAAAGTTGTAACAGTCGGATCAACTAAAAGCAGATTGAATAAATTAAAAATGAGATGATGCCCAGTTCTAAATACGCTAGATAATATT